GTAGGCCCAGTTGGAAACATGGCAGGTTCTGTGGTTGGTCCACCTGGAAATGTGGCTGCTTCTGGGGTGGATCCTCCTGGAAATGTGGCTTCTGCTACCACGGTAGGCCCAGCTGGAAACATGGCTGCTTCTGGGGTGGATCCACCTGGAAATGTGGCTGCTTCTGGGGAGGATCCCCCTGAAAATGTGGCTGTTTCTACCACGGTAGGCCCAGCTGGAAACATGGCTGGTCCAGTGGTCAATCCAGCCGGAAATGTGGTTGTTTCCAAGGTTGATTCTCCTGGAAATGTGGCTTCTGATACCATGGAAGGCCCAGCTGGAAACGTGACTATTTCTGTGGTTGATCCCCCTGGAAATGTGGCTGCTGCTTCCATTGTTGATCCAGTTGGAAACATGACTGTTTCTGTGGTTGAGTCAGCTGGAACCGTGGCTTCTGCTGCTATGGTAGGCCCAGCTGGAAACATGGCTGCTTCCATGGTCGATCCAGCTGGAAATGTGGCTGCTGTTTCTGGGGTGAATACAGCTGGAAACAAGGCTGGTTGTGTGGTCGATCCCACTGGAACTGTGGCTGGTTCTGTGGTTGATTCGACTGGAAATGTGGCTGCCTCCGTGGTCACTTCAGCTGGGGCTGGCGCTGCTTCAGCTGGGGATAGGGTAGTCATTTGGGCTGGGACCATGGCTCCTTCTGTGGGAATGGTGGGCTTTTCTGTGGTCACTAAGGGTTTCTCAATGGGGAGAGTGGGTTTTTCAGTGGAGAAAGTGGGCTTTTCTGTCAAGACAGCTGGCTCTTCTGCAGGGACAGTGGGTTCTCCTGAGGGAATCATTGTTGTAGAAGGCTCATGTGGTGGAAGTATAGGTCCAGTAGAAACCATTGTCAACGTGGGTACTGCTGTGGTAGTGACCACTAAGAAAAACAAAACAAAACAAAAGCTTGGAGTTCAGTTGCAATCGTACACAGCCTTCTTTTGCTACCCCTAACTGGAATAAGTGGGCTCAAAGTCACCTCTGATCTCTAACCTTTACTCCCTTAAACATTCAACAGAGGTCCTCACCTGTGTATGCAATACTACGTTGGGTTCAGGAAGCTCAAATACAAGCAAGACAGTGGGTCATGCATTTTCAGGTTGTGAATGGAGTCCCAGGAACTCATGTTCCAGGAAAGATAGAGGTAACAGAACCCCAGAACCCATGTTGGGCACAGTGGCCTTGCAGTGAACGTGGGTCATAGAAAAGGCCTTGAGTGGCCATCTTACCTCCACAGAGTCTGTGGCTGATCTTAATAAAACGCAGGGCAATGAGGAAGGCAGAGTTGCTACCCCGGGTTGCCTCAAAAAACAGCTGAATGAAAGGAAAGAGGAAAAGAAGAAAGGAAATGCTGGCAACTCAGTACCTCTGTCTGGGCACATCCCCTGCCAACCTGCCACCTGTGCCTCAATAGCCACTTGAACCCTAAATCTACCTCCTCTCTGCTACCTTTACAGAACCCAGCCTTGGACACACCTCCACATCCACATTCTTTTTGGTCATATTGAGGATTGAACTCAGGGCCTGACTCTTGCTAAGCAATTGTTCTACCCACTGAGCTATGCTGCTTTTCTACTGTGTTTCAAATATACAGTCTTGCATGTGCATTTTTGGCCAGAATCTATCTATGTTATTTATGTGTGTGTGTGTATGGTGTGTGCTTGTGTGTATGTGTGATATCCAGGGGCTTGAATTTAGGTTGTAGGCACTGTTCCTGAGCTTTTGTGCTCAAAGCTAGCACTCTACCACTTGAGGCACAGCTCCATTTCTGGTTTTGTTTTTTTATTAATCATATATAAGAGTTTCACAGACAGTCGGGCGCTGGTGGCTCACGCCTGTAATCCTAGCTACTCAGGAGGCTGAGATCTGAGGATTGTGACTCAAAGCCAGCCTGAGCAGGAAAGCCCATGAGACTTGTTTCCAATTAACCACCAGAAAACCAGAAGTGGCATTGTGGCTCCAGTGGTAGAGCTCTAGTCTTGAGCTGAAGAGCTCAGGAACAGCACTCAGGCCGAGTTCAAGCCCCACAACTGACAAAAATAAATTAATTAATTAAATTAAAAATTAAAAAAAACAATTAAAAAAATAAAGAGTTTCATGGGCTTTCTGGACTGGGCTGGGTTTGAACCACAATCCTCAGATCTCAGCCTCCTGAGTAGGGAGGATTACAGGTGCGAGCACCAGTGCCCAGCTTACACATGCTATTTGCTTATTCTGGAGGGCACATTTGCCCTTCTCCAGAAGAGCCTGCCTCCAGAACAGGTCTTCCCTACCCAGTGGAAAGGAACTCCCTCTGGGAGGCTTCATCTTCTGAGGCCTCTTTTTCCATGATTATCATTATGCCAGGGGACCCTCAATAGTGCTCATCTCGAATGCCCTTTCCCCCAATAATCTCAGTTTGAGAAGGGCGGACCCATGGGTTGCATGCCCTACTCCTTGCAATGCAGAAGAGCTTGCTTCAATATGGCTTGTTATCCCAGCCAGGCCCTGTAGACCCACCATGCCAACCATGCCTGGCACCTCTGGCCTCAGGCCTTCCCAAGGTCCCACCTGTTGTCTTGTTGTGACAACTTTGTGTCAAGATGTAGGTGCACCTGCCAGTGAAGCCAATGTGCCTCTCATCAAAGGTAACATAATGAAGAGCTCCATAGACCACACAAGTGGCAGATCCTGCCCAGGAGACAAATGGGGACTAGATAAGCTGCTTTGCTAACCTTCCTACATCCCAGCTCTGTGCCACCCAGGGAGGCACGTCCAGATCCCTCCCCCAGTAGTCCTGGTCCCCCACCCCCACTTCTGGAGACGCACCTAGCTCTCTGGCGCCACGCAGGGAGACACGCCCAGTTCCATTGCTCTGCCCCTAGGAGACACGCCCAGTTCCCTGGCCCCACCCTTCCCCTGATGTGTCCACCCTGGCTGACAGCACTCACCGAAAGGGTAACATCCATGCTTGTGGTCCCTCAGCTCACACACCATGTTAGCCTTGCACTGAGCTTTCTGGCACTCTATCTGGCCCCCAGATGAGCAACGGCAGCGCTCTGAGCAGTTAGAGTTGAACCACTCTTCTCCAGGCTGGAGGCAAGGGACCCGGAGTCACAAAGCCATCACTCTTGGGCCCTTCCTCTTTTTCCTCCTTGACCAGGCGTAGACTTGAACTTGTTCAAGCTCCCCGCCTTCACACTCCTCCCCCTGATATCCCCACTACCCGGGGCTGTTTGCACAGGCTGGTTTACCATGCTGAAATATTCTTCATCTCCAGAGTTCCAAATCATTCTGCAGAATTCAGCTTAAGTGTAACTTTCTCAGAACATGTGAGGATCTCCTGACATCCATAACTCTGGGTTATTTTAATTTTGCGCGTTTGCTTTTGCTTTCCTTCCTTTCTTCCTTTCTTTCTTCCCTCTGTCCCTCTCTCTCTCTCTTTCTTTTGTGCCAGTCCTGGGGCTTGAACTCAAAATCTGGGTGCTGTCCCTGGGCACTCTACCTCTTCATCTTCATCTTCACCTTTACCTCCAGCTTTTTGATGCTTACTTGGAGATAAGTGTTTCCCAGACTTTCCTAATTGGGCTGGCTTCAAACTGTGATCCTAACATCTCAACCTCCTGAGTAATTAGGATGACAGAGGTTAGACACCTGACTGGAGTACTGAACTCTGCCTGGATGTGTGCAGGTACCACTGCATTCTGCTCTCAATTAAGAAGGAGGTCTCCTAAATTTTTCTGCCTGGATTGAACTCTAACCTCAGTCCTCTCTAGATGGTAGGATACTAGAAGCCACCAATGACCAGCTTCCTTGTGCTTTTCAGAAACATGAAATGAGTATATATTGCTGGGCACCGGTGACTCACGCCCGTAATTCTAATTACTCAGGAGGCTGAGATCCCAGGATTGCAATTCAAAGCCAGCCGAGGCAAGAAAGTCCATGAGACTTAATTTTTTGTCCCTCATAGGGCTTGAATTCAGGACCTGGGTGCTGTCCCTGAGCTCTTTTGCTCAAGGCTGGGGCTCTACCACTTTGAGCCACAGCTCCACTTCTGGTTTGCTGGTGGTTCATTGGAGATAAGTATCATGGACTTTCCTGCCTGGGCTGACTTTGAACCATGATCCTCAGATCTCAGTCTCTTGAGTAGCTAGGGTTACTTGTGTGAGCTACCAGCACCCTGCTTCCTTAACACTCCTCTCTCTCCCTCAATTCCCTCCCACTCTCCCCTTCCCTTCCACCCCCCCCC